GGGCATGGGAGAGTTCAGGCCCTAAAATTATTGAATTCAACATTGAGTCCACAGGGCTGCAGGATCCCCAGCAGAAAATGAGGTGTCGTTCTTCCAGCTTACACTGAGCTTCGCTGGAACACTAGAGCAAGCTTGAGACAGAGATGTTGGCCAGAGAACAGAGTGGTGCGTTAAAGTGGCAGGCAACTGGAAGCTCAGCGTCCTTTTGGGGGCAGAATGTAGCTGTTCTGCGAAGCAGGCACCCAGTCTACACTTCGTGTCCCCAATGTTTGCAATATTGACCGAGCAGGGTTTGATGTCATTGTTTATATCAATACTGAATGGTTTTTTCAGTTACATTCCTTTTAGACTTCGGATTGGTTTGATACAACTGAGAGACTTGCTAGGATATTTCCAGCAGTCAAGTGTCGTGCACATTGCTGTGGGTCTGGAGTCACATGTAGGCCAAAACCATGTAAGGACAGTAGGTTTAGTTCCCCAAAGGATATCAGTTCACCAGATGCATTTGTACAATAATTTTGTAGTTATTATCAGAGTAGTTTTGTTAATTGAAATTAAATTCCACTGTCTGCCATAGCAGAAGTTGAACGTGTGATCTCAGTTCAAGCCTGGGCCTCTGGATTACTAGACAAGTGATATTATTGCTATGTCACTGCCTCCTTGTGATGGAAACTGACTGCAAAGGGACATACTGGGTGCTTCAGACACATCCCATACCGCCTTACTACTTCGTCCAACCTACCAGTATCTGACATTAAATGATCAGCTCTTTTTGGGTAAATCTACTAGTATTAATCTATAATACCTTCTCATTCTGTATGAAGTATATATATCTAGTACATTCATGGGGTCCTGATCTTTGTGGCTATAAGATAGCTGTACTATACAATAGTTATTATTTTAAAAGTTCCATAAAATACATTGTACATTCTTTGGAAAAACTCTGAAATGAACATCCCCATTACAATATTTACTCGGTGAATTCAGCCTATTAGCATTTTCATTAAGACAGATTCAGGCAGACCATATTCTAAAAGGAATAATTTATACTACAAAGTTAAAAGCATACTGATTGGCTTACTTTTGGACTCCGATTGGTTGAGAAAGCACCAGAGAATAGTTGGCTGCAAATGTTTGTTTAAATTTAGGAAAGAAGAGCTGTCTGTGATTAGTTAAGGTGTTGAAACGGTGTAATGCACAAGGGAACTATTGTCTCTTAACCTTTATTTTGTAGTAAAAATTGCAAAGCGTAGATATGTTCTTTCTGTTTCCAGAGGGTGTGTTCTTTAATACGAACATATGTAGATTCTAGCATGTGTAGGTGAGCTGCATTGGCAGTCCAACTGGTAATCTTAAATTAGGCTTTTTAATACTTTCTACCACAAACTTAACTGTCCTGGTCCATATACTCACTGGCATTCCCATAGCTGTGATAACAAGGTGTAGAGCTGGATGAACACAGCAGGCCAAGCAGCATCAGAGGAGCAGGAAAGCTGACGTTTCGGGCCGAGACCCTTCTTCAGAAATGGGGGAGGGGAAGGGGGTTCTGAAGTAAATAGGGAGAGAGGGGGAGGCGGATAGAAGATGGATAAAGGAGAAGATAGGTGGAGAGGAGACAGACAGGTCAAAGAGGCGGGGATGGAGCAGTAAAGGTGAGTGTAGGTGGGGAGTGAGGGGGGGATAGGTCAATCCAGGGAGGATGGACAGGTCAAGGGGGCGGTATGAGGCTAGTAGGTAGGAGATGGGGGTAGAGCTTGACGTGGGAGGCGGGGATAGGTGGGAGGAAGGACAGGTTAGGGAGGCGGGGACAAGCTGGGCTGGTTTTGGGATGCGGTTGGGGGAGGGGAGATTTTGAAGCTTGTGAAGTCCACATTGACACCATTGGGCTGCAGGGTTCCCAAGAGAAATATGAGGTGCTGTTCCTGCAACTTTCAGGTGGCATCGTTGTGACACCGTAGGAGGCCCAGGATGGACATGTCATCTAAGGAATGGGAAGGGGAGTTAGAACATAGAACATAGAACACAGAACATTACAGCGCAGTACAGGCCCTTCGGCCCTCGATGTTGCGCCGACCTGTGAATACAATCTGAAGCCCATCTAACCTACACTATTCCATTATCATCCATATGTTTATCCAATGACCATTTAAATGCCCTTAAAGTGGGCGAGTCTACTATTTTTGCAGGCAGGGCATTCCACGCCCTTACTACTCTCTGAGTAAAGAACCTACCTCTGACATCTGTCCTATATCTATCACCCCTCAATTTAAAGCTATGTCCCCTCGTGCTAGCCACCACCATCCGAGGAAAAAGGCTCCCACTGTCCACCCTATCTAATCCTCTGATCATCTTGTATGTCTTTATCAAGTCACCTCTTAACCTTCTTTTCTCTAACGAAAACAGCCTCAAGACCCTCAGCCTTTCCTCATAAGACCTTCCCTCCATACCAGGCAACATCCTGGTAAATCTCCTCTGCACCC